GAGACCAAGAGGTCCTTCAAAATGAAAACCATGGAGCAGGAACAGGATTCCAGGGAGAGACAGAGAAGCAGCAGTTCTCTGTTCAGCAAGCTCTGGCTTAATGCCTGGCTAGGCACAGGTACTAGTGTTCTCACCTCCCCAAAACATGATCATCCTTCATCTGGCTTGAGCCTATCAATAGCACAAAAGCTAGGCAGAGCAGATAGTATCACTCCCAGCTTGCACTGGAGGAACAGGGGCTGAGGTCACTGAGCCTTGAATAACAGAGTTAAAAATAAACTAGCTAAGTAATGAAAACCTTTTTAAGAATTAAGAAACAAAAATGTATTAAAATGGAATAGAAGAAGAGAGAAAGCAAGCACAAAAAAAATATCAGAGATCATTACTATTTGATGAAGAAGAATCCATGTGGCTGAAGCATAGATTTTGAACAATATACAATGGTACTGAGTATAGAGGGAAATGTGAGATCAGGGAGCTGGTGGGGCTGTAACACAGTACAGAGTCATGTTATTTTCTAAACACACCAAAGTTATAGGCAAAATATAGCACAGACAATGTCCTCATGCTTGGCCATCTCTGAAGTGTCATGAACTGTCGTTCCCCCAAATGCCCAAGGTGTTGTTATTATTAGTTTTGTTTCCATTTTTCTGGTGAGAAAACTGAGGCACAGAGAGGTTAGATAAGTTGTTTAGGATGGTGCTGGCAGTAAGGGGTACAACCGGCATTTGAACAAACCACTGAAATACAGTACTCTTCTCCCAAAAATTTCTTGTGAAAGGTCTCCTATGCTTCGCATTGTACATTACTGAAACAGCCTATACTTAAAGAGAAATATCAGCAAAGAGGATTCAGAGAATTGAACATGATCTGGGTTTACTTGCCTGTTCAGTGGAATCCAGAAAGAGTCAACAAATATGTTGCCCCAACTGGAAAGTTTAATATCTGAACTCTTCAAGAGCTTTGTGTTGTATGCACACAATAATAAAACCTGTAAGAAAAATAATATGATACAATGACATCAAAAGCAACATCAGGGGCTGGGGTTGTAGCTTAACAGTAGAGCCTCACCTAGCACATGAGAGGCGCTGGGTTCAATTGTCAGCACCACTTAAAAGTAAATAAATAAAATAAAGGTATTATGTACAACTACAGCTAAAAAAATATTTTAAAAAAGTAACATCAAAGTTATACTTTGCCTCAAAAAATTCAACATCAGCCCTCAGAGTAATGTCACATCACTTTAAAAAGTTTTTCTTTAGAAAAGCAAAAAGAGGATTTTTCCCCAAAATTTAGTTCAGAGAAATGATATGAACAAGAACTATATACAGGTCATAGATGAAAAAGAATACTATTTGGAATAGTAAATTATTTTTGAAAAGTGAGATTTCATACTGTAAGTTTAAATTTCAGCATTTGAAGGCCCGCTGTAGTAATACTACACCTGAACCTGGTGGATCTCCATCTTGGTTTCTTGTTATTCCTCAGTGTGGACCTATGATGTTCCCCTCCTCTCCTCTCCATTCATTCAACCCACTCACAACTTTCCAGGACCCACCTCTAAGATGAGACTTCTCTTGATTACTCACATTCTAGTAATTTCTCTGTTGTTTGCCTTCTGATAATTTTTAGAGTAAGGCCCATGCAATATGGCACCTATTTACAGTCATGGAGTCATAGAATTTGAGATTCACAGAACCATAGAGATGGTCTGGTCAAATTCCCTCATTTTAGATATAATAAAGTTAAAGCCCAAGCCTGGTCATCAAAACTGACTGATTAAGCACAATGTTATTTATCTCTGCTTCCTTGAAAAAACAAACTAAAATAAGAGTAAAGGGAATTTTTTTAAGCACCAAGGACAGACAGAAGAAGAGAGGAGGCGAAACAGACAATGTTAGCAGCATTCTGAAGGAAGAAAACACTTGGAAAACTCAGCAGAGAGGAAAAGCTGTGTCTTAAGTGACTTGAGGAACTGCCAACAGGAAGCATGATTTAAAACTGAAAAGGCTCCTGGACTGGAGGTGTAGGCACCTTAGAAGGCAGGAGTGGGTAGGACTGCAAACAGGAGCGTTGGACAAATGCTTCCCCGCCCTTCTCAGAGCCCACAGAGCCAGGAGATCCCCAATCCCCTTGCCTCCTCTCTCTTGGATGAAATTCTTCCATTTTGCTCTCTGCTGATATTAAGTCTTGAGGATCTATGCTCAGGGACATTGGGGCAGGGGTTAGGTGCTGGAGTGAAAATATTGGAATTAATGTATTCCGAATGCACGATATCCCCTCACTCCATCACAGCCTCTTCCCAGAATGTAGGTAACAAAGCAGGTGTCCAAGAAAATCCTCTGTGGGGGAAATTGACCAGTTAAAGAGAAAAGACGCACAGATGCTGACATTTCTGCAAACTTAAGTGAAACTGCTGGCTCCGTCTGCAGATATCCTCCAATGAGGCCCATAAATCAGGAAGCCTGACCCCAGACGCTCCTCAGTGCCTCACTTCAAACACCTACAGTCAGTCAAGAGTTCAGAGCAGGAAATGAAAGGCAGATGCCAAAACCAACAGAGGAAAGGAACTGGAAGGATCAGATACAACACAGAGAGCAGAAGAAAGCTTCAATGGAACCGTAATTAGTACCTGCAGGGAAAAGGACAGACCTGCGTCCATGAAGTAGGAACACATGCTATTAAAATAGAACCACTGGAAAACAAGTAAGCACTCTAAAAATTAAAAAATTAACATAGCAACTAAATAATCAGTAAAAGATTTGAAACATAAACTTGAACCTCATCTCCTCCAAAGTGAAACCTAAATTTGAAATCATAGATAATAGGGGAGAAAAGATTAGCAAACTAAATACTTGGTCCAATAGGTTCAATAGTCAAGAAGACACAGAGACATCCGAGGCAAGGAAACTGTCAAAGAAAAAAATCTCTATGAACTGAAGTACACTACTTTCCAGATTGAAAAGGGCATCCTAAAAATCCAGCAGAATGGATTGAAGACCTAAGCCAAAGCACACTGTGGAACCCCAATACACAGGGAATAGAAGAAAAAGCCGAGAACTTCCAGCATCACATATGAAGACCTAGGATCTCACTGCTGGGCACATTTCTAAAGGAAATAAAATCAGTATGTCAAAGAGATATCTACTCTCTAATACTTATCACAGCAATGTTCACAATAGCCGAGATATGGACACAACCAAGTGTCCATCAACAGGTGAATGGGTACAGAAATATATTCATAAGAGAATATAATTCAGCAATAAAGAAACAAAGAATAAAATTCTGTCATTGGTGATAATGTGGATGAACCTGGAGGACAATGCTAAGTGAAACAGGGGGGACAGAGAAAGACAAGTGCCTAATGATGTCACAGACTTCACAGAGTGAAGATTCCAGAACATAGTACACTCTGTTCAAGTTCTCACTAGTATTATCATCTTGTGGGCCTCATGAGCTTCAACCAGTTATTCAACACCAAACACTACACTGAGGTC